TATATATATATATATATATATATATATATATATATATATATATATATATATATCTTTATTTGTTATTCATTGTTTTATTATCATCATTAATTTCATTATTCATTAATATTCTTGGCATTCTTCTTTCTTTGTTTGACTGTAATGCCCATATCTTTGGTACTTTTGCCTTTAACAGCCACTTCGTCGATTTTTTTTTATCCTCAGTTTCATATATTGTAGATTTGTATTAGAAGTATTTAAGATTCTTTCAAAAACATTTTCTTGATTTCTTACATTTGCATTATATATTATTGGCTAAACTTTTTTTAAGTACTTTTATCATTTGTCTTTATTTTTTTATTTCCATTTTTCCTTTTTGTAGCTTGATTTATTATGTACAAAACGACAAGATGTAATATATAATCTTTTGGATTGGCCCACTAAAGTCTCCGCACAATTAGTAGTTATTACTATTGCAAACACTATGGATCTCCCAGAAAGAGTTTTAATGGGTAGAGTCACATCACGATTAGGTCTTACCCGTGTTAGTTTTCAACCATACAATCACGAACAACTACAAGAGATTATAATAACCCGGCTCAAAGAAACAAATATTTTTAAAAATGAAGCTATACAATTAATTGCACGGTGAGCATTTGTTTGTTTCATATTTTTGTTTATTTTTAGTTTTATAGTTATTTATAGTTTTATAGAATATCCCTGGTAAAAAATTTATAGAGAATAATAGAATAAAAATAACCATTTTCTATCGTTTTGAATATGGATTTTGGACCAGATAAAATACGATAGAATTCATATCTGAACTTGCGAGCGTGAACGATACAGCTTAAAGAAAACGATTCAAATTGATAGCGCTATCAATCGTTTTCTTTAATCCTATTTTATACCCGATTTTGTATTCTATAGAAAACTAACGATAGAAATTCTATCAATATCTATTGTATTCTATTGTATACGATAGAATACTATTTACATTTTGTAAATTCACGAACCAAAATCCATATTCAAAACAATAGAAAATGGTTATTTTTATTCTATCGTTCTCTATAAATTTTTTTACCTAAGGTATTTCATATATTTGTTTAAATTTTTATTTAATTAACTGTAAACATTTACTTAAGTATAAATATTTGATTGTTTTATTATACATTGACATTTTCTTATTATTATATATATTATTATTATTATATTATAAATTATTATTATTATATTATAAAATGATTCAATATAAGTGTAACAAACTTTGATAGATTGATTGGTAGATCATACTGAATAAAAATATTATATGAGTATAGTTTATATCTCAGTAATTACATCGTTATAGGAGTTTTAAAATTTTGCTACTGTCATACTGAAATCACATGCTTGGTAGGAAGTAAAGTAAGTAGGTAGAATAGTGTTCAACACTAGTATTTCAACAATGTTGAAATAAACACTTGTGAACACAATTATATCAAAGAATTATTGCCCGAGAAAAAAAGATTATATAAATAATATTATATATTATAATTATATATAAATATATATTATATATTATAATTATATATTATATATTATAATTATATATAAATATATATGATTATGTATGATTATATATGAAATTTGGCACTTCATATAAGATTACATATAAATCCATATGAAATTATACAGGGTGTCCGGTAACTGATTGAGCAACTGCCGTGTACGGGTAGAACGTGTCAAAACAATTATAAAAATTATATACCATTTTGAAATTTTCTCAATATTTATTCCGTAATTAATTAAAATGTATAAACGAATGAGCTCACGAGAAGCGGTAGGACAGGCTCTATGTGTAAAAGAAATGGCTTACCTCTTACGGTAAGTAAACAGCTGATTTCGAGGCGGAGTAACGTATACGTGTCGCTTGTTACTTCGCCTCGAAATAAGCTGTTTACTTATCGTAAGAGGTAAGCCATTTCTTTTACACATAGAGCCTGTCCTACCGCTTCTCGTGAGCTCATTTGTTTATATATTTTAAATGTTTTTTAGGCTCCCAGCCTACTTTCAATTCTTACTCCAATCACACTCAAAAATTTTTAAAAGTGGACTGACTAAGGTTGGAATCGGGACAATAAAATGAACTTTAGTCAAACATAATTTTATTATTTAACTTTTCGTTATAGTCGGAATTTAGTAACAAACTTAACATGTAAAAGAATTGATGCTTGCCTTTTACATAATGGAGCTTACATTAAACATTTAGCCTAGACAAGATTTACTAATTGAATAAAAATTATATACATGTTAAGTTTGTTACTAAATAAATATTAAGTTTGTTACTAAATTCCGACTATAACGAAAAGTTAAATAATAAAATTATGTTTGATTGAAAACTTCATTTTATTGTCCCGATTCCAACCTTAGTCAGTCCACTTTTAAAAATTTTTGAGTATAATTGGAGTACACGAAGAATTGAAAGTAAGATACTTAAGTAGAAGTACT